GGCCGCTGCGGGCACGACCGACAGGGCTGATGGTGAACCACCCGCGGGAACGCTGGCGGCGCCCACGGGGGCGCTGGCGACGCCGTCATCGAAGACCCCGTCTTGATCCTGCCCCGCGTCAGCTGCCACCAGCTGTTTGTCACCCAAGACAAACTTGATGATGCGAGCGCCCTTCCGCTGCTCGCCGACGAGGCAGCGGGCGTCGAAGTCGACGCCGTCCAAGTGCAATTGGTGGACGTCGCTGAGGCTCCGAGGGAACCGCCGAATGACCAGGCTGCGGCTGCAGCCCGGCCAATCGCTCAGGAACTTCCGGCCGCGTGCAAGACGCGCGGCACGAACGTCTGGTAGCTGAAAACATCTGCGGGACAAGTGGCGAAGAGCCTCGAGGACATCGGGGCGTTGCCGAGCCTGCTCGGTCAGCTGCTTGCCCCGCTCGTCCTCTCACTCGCCGATGGTCCTGGCCCCTGAGCCTGGCGCGAGGTGCTCGAGGATGTCCACCGCGCGATACCAGGCCAGGCCTGCTCGCGCCATGCGGGCGCCCTTGTCGCTGAAGACGGTGCCGATGAAGGTCCGCGCGTCCTGCACTCTGCAGACCGTCTCGGCGTTGCGGTACTTGACAGCGACCTTGCCTCTGGCCGGGTCCACAGAAAGAACAGTACCACGCGTCCTTCGTGCTGGGGGGCAGGTGGATCTCCGCCTGATCACCCGCGCTCAAGCGCCCCCTCCTGGTTTCTGCGTTGCGTGTCTGGAGGGTGCGGTTGACGCGAGCGATCGAAGTGGCCTCGAGCATGCGCTGCACAGCGATATCACGGATGCGCCGCGGCAGTCGGCCGGGTTGCGCCTCGCCGCCCGCAACGGGCTCTGGTCCGGCGACGCAATCGCCCTAAGCCGGTCAGCAGCGAACTCCGACCCCGCAGCGTGCGGGGTCGGAGTTCGCCGCTGACCGGATTATTACCGCGCGCGCCCAGTGTTGGAAAGGCGCGCGAGCTTGCTGCTCGAGACCCCAAGTGCGTCGGCGTCGCGCGTCGCCGCCGCCGCCGCCCGCGTCCGTGCGGACGACGCAGCTGACGGCGGCGATCGCGCCCGCTCCGATGGCCTTCCGTCGAGATGCCCCCCCCCCCAGATGTCGAGGACGCGCGACAGCCCTGGTGCCCGCCGACGGCTATGCTCAGGTAGAGATCCTCGCAGCCGTCGTGGGCATCGGTTTCGGGGGTGCTCCTCCTCATCAGCGCAGTTGGGTCTTCTCTTCTGTCGCGCGATTGGCTTGCAGGCTGCGCTCGGAGCACCCCGCCAAACAATGGCCGTTCAGCTCCTCGCGCGTCGCATAGTCACTGCGCTGCGCACTGCCGTGCCGCTTTGACGATAATCAAGAAGAGTACGCATAGGGATCCAAGCCTGTCCTGAAGCAGGGAGCGCGTAGATGACATTGAGAAACATGTCCCAGATAACCGACTGCGCGCAGTCCCAGACTCGCGCGACAGTCCCCAGGGAGGCGGGCAACACAAACAGCCGACCCTCTTTCGTACTTCCGCTATTTCCTGCACGTGCTACCCACGGCTCTAGCGACGTAGTTGCTCTTGGCTCGGGGAGTTCTGCCGCGGCCGACGACGCTGGCATCGGATCGGATCAAACGACTGCTCGAAGTAGCCGGGTCCACGGACAAACGAGCGCAACGGAGGTGGAACGTCTTGATTATTATTCCCCTTGGGCTGTCGCAGCGCAGCTGCGCTTCGCCTGGGGTCTTGCACTGTCGCCGCGGATGCGACTGTCGTTTCGTGCGACTGCTTGCCATCGGCGGTCACCCCCACAGGCGGGAGCTGTGGCGATGAGGACGCTCCGAAACTGCCGAACGTAGCTCGAACCAGCTACGGAGAGAAGAGGCGGGGGGCGCTGTCCTCCTTGGTCTTGTACTGGTTGTGGTAGCTGTACTTGTGTTCTTGCGCCAGCGATGGCGGCTGGGCCGGGTTGGCCCCGCCGGTCCGTGCAGACGCGCCGCCTGCCTTGAGCATCATCAACACAGACGTATACCAGACTGTAGAACGCGAGGTCGTCGATGAGGATGTCGAACGACAGCCAGGGGTATGGCAGCGGGCCGCGCGGGCCATGGCAGCAATTGGTGGAGCGATATGCTCCGCTACCAACTTAGACTTGAAACGAGTGGATGAAAACGGAATGTTTCTGTATAGCGGTGTCTACGAACGGTATGCGTATGCTGTAGATCGGGCGCGAAACCTGGCCACGCTTGAGCCCAGCCCTGCTCCCTTCTATGCTACAAGCTTGCTGACAGCCCTGCTACCCAATAGCCTACCGTTCGAATGATAAGAGGAGGAGGAAGAGGAGGAGAAAGAGGCATGAAGGATGATAGCGAAAGGAAGCTTGGAAATGATCATGGTGATCATGTAGATGTTGATGATAATGGCGAATCTGATGACGACGACGATGATGATGGTGATGATGGGGAGGAAGATGAAGACGGTGACCGTGATGATGAGGATGATCAGCAGTAGTAGGATACGCAAGCCAGATCCAGTGAATCACGACTATTATACCACTGCCCGCTCTCTACCAGCGCCAGCGTGCCAGCTGGCCGCCAACGCTGGGCTGGCAGCGCCATCGGGCCAGACGAGTGGCCCATGGAAACCAGAATGAAGTCGGCGATGGCGGCAACCAAGGCCGACTCTGGCGCAAGACAGGTGCGGCCTCCGGCGCCGAGCCGCGAGGCTGCCATGTCGGCCGCGTGACAGAGGTTCGTCTGGCTGGCAGGGCCAAGCGGGGTCGAAACACAGGGCAGAGACCAGGCTGCCGTGCCGCGCCAGTTCCTCCCAGGCCCAGGCTGCCGCTGCCACCGAGGCCCAGGCTGCTGCTGCGCGGCCGCCTTGAGCGTTGCGGGCGGTTGGCGGGCACCGCGCCGTCACGTCGAAGGAGAAGGAGACAAAGCCTCCTGAGATAGACTGGACAACGTCCGAGACCGCCTCGGGAAAGAAACCTTCTTGACTGATGCGGCGCATTTTCAGTTCGGCACGCTCTGAGTCTGCGAAGCACGCACTCTTGACTAGAACTTGCAGCAAAAACTCCAGCAAAGATCGATGAAACCGCACGCGGCCTATCGCGGCCGGGGCCCGCTCTACAGTCGACCCGTATCCTAAGGACGCACGATAAGGATGCAAGGGCCTTGGGAGGCCGTTACGAAGCTTTTCGAGCGGGGCGCGGCCAACGAAAGTGGCCAAGGATGGACCGAGGAGGCAAGGATGAAAGGGTACCCTTAGGAAGATTGCCCATCCTTACTATGCTAGTTGACTGTAGCACTCATTCATGCCGGTGCGCCAGCGGAGCATGTGATTGCGGCGCGGGACAGCCCTCTTCCCAGACCCGGGAGAGCTGGCAGACAGCTGCATGCGGGGCCTCCATCATCCCGAGGCGGATCTGGGACGCCATGCGGAAACTGCCGCCATCCATGCGTTCGGCTGCGTACCGTGGCGGCTGCGCCCGCATCTTTGGAGGACCAAAGAACGGCATAAGCATGAACTTTTGGCGGTCCGCGCGGATTTCTTAGATCTGCGCTGGACCTCCCCCCTGGCGCGCGGAGCGGCGCTGGGGGCAGCGCCGGGGAGGCCCACCGCGGAACACCAAAAGTTTACGTTTCTGCCATTTTCTTTCTCGAATCCATGCGTTCGGCCGCGTAGCGTGGCGGCTGCGCCCACAGTTCCCAGATGCGCCACGGCAGAGCCGAGACGCACCGACGCGACTCTGATATATCCCATTCTGATAGAAAGGGGGCCTGCGGCAGAGGGCGAAGCCCTTACGGATATTCGTGCACCGCGCCCCCCGCGCGGTTATCTTCGCGCCTTCGCGCCGCCCCCTTGGAGAAGGGTTACCGCTCTGGCTCAGACCGCATCAGACCGCGACGCGCGAAGCGGGATGATCTCTTCGCGCCCCCACGGGTGACCCAAGTGAGGACGACGAGGAAAGCGCAGGGGGAAAAACACAGCGCAAGACGTGACGGGACTCACTCGGCACGGCATTGTGACGGTACAGTGGAGGCCAGTCTACAAGAACCCTTCCAAAAGAAACGCAACCCTGAGACCCGAGGACGTCTATGGATTTTCAAATGAGAACGTCACGATTTCCATACAAAAGCTGTCGAAACCCAAGAAACCCAGGGCACCCTGGAGGCCAGCTGGGTGTTTCGTGGCATGGGTCACCACCACCCAACTTCGCGCATGGCACCCCGCGGTGAGCGACGCGCGGTTATCTTCGCGCCATGCGAGGCCGCTTTCGAGGAGGGCAGCTCCCTGGACGAGGCCACGATGTGCGAGACGCAATTGCCTTTGCGACCCTGGGGGTCACCTGGACAAGGACGACGCTGAGAGCACAGTGGGAAAACACAATGCACACGGCAAGACGTGACGGGGGTCACCCGGTGAAGCATCGTGACGGTACAGTAGGGGCTCGACAACAAGAAACCTTCCGCAAAAAAAACAAACAAACCTGAGACCCCATGACGTCCATTGATATTTTGTGTGGGGCCGTCACGCTTTCCATCGCGAAGCCATATCGAAACCCACGAAACTCAGGGCACCCTGGAGGCAAGCAGGGTGCTTGTTGGCATGGGTTTCTGCTGTACCTCTCCTCGCCCCCACCCGCGCCCGTCCGTGGAGTTCAGCGCCGACTCCGCGATCTCCACCTCCTCGCCCTGGGCGAGGCGGCCGCTCGTGCAGTCGAGCGCCAGCCTCGCGCGAGGTCAGGGGTTGCGCGCACAGGGCAGAGAGGGTCTGAGATCCTGTCGCCCTCGGCGCCGTCGTCGTCCTCCCCTCCCTGCCTCGCTCCCTCACCCCCCCCTTCTCCTGCTCCTGCTCTTCTCGCCGTCATGATTAGCACTGGCGCTACCATCACCCTCGTCCTCCTCCTCCTCCTCATCATCCTCATCATCAACACCATCATGATCACACTCACCATCACCATCACCATCACCATCTCTACCACCATCACCATCACCATCACCATCACAATCACCATCAGCATCATCATCATCAACAACATCATCATCACCATCGTCGCCGCCATCATCACAATCCACAACCATCCTCATCACCACCGTCATCAGAACCATCACCATCGTCATCATCACACTCGCCGTCGTCATCCTCGCCATCTTCACCATCATTGTAATCATCATCATTGGCACCATCATCACCACCACCATCATCGCCATCGCCATCACCATCACCATCACCGTCACAATCACCATCACCATCACCATCACCATCATCATCATCATCATCATCATCACCATCATCATCATCGTCATCATGGTCGGCATCATGGTCCGCATCATGGTCGGCATCGTCGCCATGATCATTATCATTATTATCACCAACAACATCATCATCAACATGAACATAAGCATTATCATTTTCACCGTCATCGTCATCGCCATCGCAATCATCATCACCAGCATCGCATCAACATCGTCAACATCACCATCGTCATCATCACCGTTGTCACCATCACCTTCACCATCACCACCCCCGTCACCATCACCACCACCACCATCACAATCACACTGATCAGCGTCAGCGTCAGCGTCGTCATCATCATCATCATCACCACCAGAACCACCACCACCGCCTCCACCAACATCAGCATCATCATCACCCTCATAACCATTATCATCAACGCCTCTAGCATCATAACATCATCATCATCATCATCATCATCATCATCATCATCATCATCATCATCATCATCATCACCATTCTCACAATCCTCACCATCATCAGCATCAGCATCAGCATCAGCATCATCATCATCATCATTGTCATAACCATCGTCCTCGTCATCATCGTCATTGGTATCATCGGCATCATCACCATCACCGTCACCGTCACCATCACCATCGTCACCATCATCATCATCATCATCATCATCAGCATAATCATCAATATCGTCATCGTCATGGTCGTCATCATCGTCATCATCATCACCATCTTCTCCGTCGCCGTCGTCGTCACTACCGTCGTCGTCATTATCACCATCGTCGTCATCATCGTCGGCATCATCATCACCTTCACCATCATCACCGCCATAGCCACCATCACCACCATCATCATCATCATCAGCATCAGCATCAGCAGCATCAGCATCAGCATCAGCATCATAATCATCATCCTCATCATCTGATGATGATGATGATGATCGTCAATACCTCTAGGAAAACCCGAAGATGTCAAAACCAACGATTACCTGCGAAAGTATTCCTGATGTTCCCGTTCTCGCCTTCTCGAGTTTCCGTCAGCCCAGGGCGGCCCAAGAGGCCCCAAGCAAATAGTCGGCTCAAGCGACTCTCAAGATGGACCGAAGAGGCCTCCAGTACAGCTCGACGAAGCCCCCAATGCGGCCCAAGAGGGCCGCGAGAAGGTCCAGAGAGGTTCCCAAGCCGGACTCTCAAGGCGCCAGACTGTCCAAGAGCGCCATCAGACGGCCCGAGGAGCCCCCAAGAGGCGCCAATAGAGTGGAGGGAAAAAGGGGAAGACGACGACAAGCACGAATAGAGAGCCACGTCGACACTCCGACACTGCGCGGAAGAGCGCGTCACATCTCACAGCTCTCCCAAGCCTCGGGACACGAGGTGTCACCGCCCTACGGCTTCCTGTGCGCTCCTCGAGCAGTCGCCACACGGAGTGCTGGGCTGGCGCGGCGGCGAGACTTGCCGCAGGCAGCTGGATCCTCAACCTCGGGCGCGCTCACTGCGCACCCCCCCGAGGGGTGCTGCGGCGACGGCGCGGCTGCATTTTGAACCACTCCTGAGCCTGTTGCTGCCCCTGCTCTGTTCTTCACGCATGCCGGCACACACATGCGCCAAGCGCGGGAACTATACTGACTCCTGCCGCTCCAACGTCCTGCTTTCAGAGCGTGCCTACCTGCATGCTGTTCGCATGTTTGCCTGCGTGCCTTCCCGCATGAAGGCCTGCGCACGTGCTTCAAGTTTCCCTGGCGAAGGGCCCGACCGTATGCAGGGCGCACGGCGCGGCCCTCCTCCTCCTCATACCCTGCGCGCAGCGAGAGGGATGAAGTTCGGGGCAGCGCGGAGACGGGGCCTGCGGAACGAGCGCGAAGAGGCGCACTGAACAATCTACGCTGGCACGAAGCGTGTGAGGGGCGTGCCCTCATGAGCGCAGGGCGGCATGCGCGGCACACCTACTGGGGCCGCAGGTGGAGCTCCCATGTGAGGGGTGTGCTCAAATGAGCGCGGGGCGGCATGCGAGACATCTCCACTGGGGCCGTCGGCGTAGCTCCCTATGAGAGGCGACACGTGGGATGGGTGTGCCCAGATGAGCGCGAGGCAGTACACGTGACACCCCCTCTGGAGCCGTAGGCGCAGCTCCTCCTGGGGCCACGAGGCGTACGAAGGGCGTGTGCCGAAAAATAGGCAGGCGGACGGAGAGCAGAAGCGAGAGGATATATACATAAATCTGTATATATATACAATATATATATATATATATATATATATATATCTATCTATATATATATATATAGACAGAGCCACATTCGGTCCACATTCGGTCCACTGCTGCAACACGACGGCAGGCAGAGGAGGAGGAGGAGGGATAGGAGGGAGAGGGAGCCAGGAGGAGGCGTGCGCGCGGTGCTGTGTATCCAAAGCCAAGGCCCACCAACACAGGGCGACTGGGACAAAACTGTAGGCCCGAGGGCTCCCAAACGCTCCCAAACGATGCCGAGCGTACCATGGAGCTCCCGAGTGGTCCTGGGCGCCACCGCACTGCCAAGCGTTCCCCTCCTCCCTAGCTCCCACCTCCCAAGCGCTCCTGGCACTCGCTGGACTGCAAAGCGCTCTCTGTCGCTCCCGAGCGCTCCCGCCTTGATCATCGTTCTGCGCGCCCGCGGCCACGAGCCTTTCCAGGGAACTCGCCAACAAAAATAGCCGGGCGTCTAAAGAGCTGGCCAACTCACGAACCAGACAGCCAGCCAACGAGCCAATCCGAGCCTGTTCCCTTCGCTGACGAAACCCGAGCTACTGGAACTGAAGCGTTTCCTGGAGGTCCTGGCGCGGACCACTCCTCACGTGACCTCTTTATTCCTTGACGCCCAAGTGCTTGTACAAGCGCGCAATGCCCGAATGCAAATGCACGATTCCAGAATCTCTCCATGAATCGTGCTGGAGGAAAATCAGCTTTCGCAGAGCTTGAAATGGAAATTCAACGTCTGGTTTACCCCTGGCGGACTGCTAGGCAGCCGCTGTTTCACGTGTCTCTTTCTCTCCAAACTGTGATGTCCAAGGCTTTCCGAAGTGCGGTACAGCGCATGCTTGCTGATGATTCGGGGGTGTGAGCTGGTTTATCAGGGACCCTTCTTTTGTTCTTTGCTGCACTGCGCTGGCCGCGAACTTCTCGGCTCTTTGGTTCTGTCCGAAAAACGGTGCGGCAACAGCACCAGGTAGGAGCTCAGGTTCGAGTCCACGTCCCTGCCCCATCAGAGCCACAACAACAACGAGGTCGGAGGACGAGTATGGCGAGGAGGAGCAACACCCACGAGTCCGAGCGAGCCGAGACGGGGACCAGCGTGGAGAAGGAGGAGGAGGGATGATGGAGTAGTGTTCCGGCCTGTTCCCCTCCTCCTTCCTCCTCCTCCTCCTGCCTCCTCCTCCTCCTGCTCTTCCTACTCCTCCTGCTCTTCCTCCTCCTCGTCCTCCTCCTCCTCCTCCTCCCACTCCTCCTCCCTCGTATTTCCTCTCCTCCTGCTACTGCTCCTTCTCCTCCTCCTCCTCATCCTCCTCGTCTCCTCCTCCTCCTCCTCCTCCTCCTCCATCCTCCTCCTTGTACGGAACTTACCCCTGTTGTACCACCAGACGTGTCCGTAGGCTGGGCTGGGTGTTTCGCTTGAGACTCCCTTGCAATTCGCTACATCGTGAAGCTAATCAAATTCCAACTCGTTTCCAAGATGCGGTTATCGGCTTCGCCCCGCGCACATTTGCTGTACCTGTTCCTAGCACCTGGACGCACACGGATGGAGGTCGATTCATTTTCAAAATGTAACTCTCGCCTTAGCGCAGCGCAGCTACAAAGATGCAGCTCTCTGCCTCAGCGAGGTCACTTCGTGAACGAAATGCGGCTCTCGCCTTAGCGAGGCCACTTCGTTTTTCACATGCGGCTATCGCTTGCGACATCTTCACACTCAATGGCCCAGAATTCCAAATTCGATTTGGAAGTTCAGGCCAGAGAATTTGAGGGCTCGGAATTCCATTTCCTCCACTTCACGGATGGAGAGGGGCGGCCGATTCTCAAGTTGGGGCTCTCGTTTGAGACTTCCGCACCTTTTTGACAAAGGCTATGAAACTCAACGACACTTGTGCGCATGGAGAACCGATCCTTTAGAACACTCGGTGGTGGACAAACCTCCCTGTAATACACCACCCTTTAGTGAAAACGGCCTGGGACCGAAACCGGCGGACCTGGACCCGCAAAAATGACGGCCACGACGCCCTCCCGCGAACCGAAAACGGCCAATTCGCCAATCGACGTGTCAGGGTAGGAGTTCTATCAACCTCCGAAACACGGGTTATCGCTGGGCACTTCCTTGAGCCTTGCCATCTCTCGTGTGCTTCTTTTGGCTAGGGGAGCGAAGATCGCGGGGTGGATCCTCTACGGATCGGTGTCTCGCCCGAGTGGCAGGACCACCAGGCGGTCGGCATTGGACGGAGGCGCTTTTGAGGAGACCTGGGAGGGGAGGGTGTATTGCAACATCCCTGACGCATCCTGGACTTACTCTGGTCCCCCTCCTCCTCCCCTCGACCACTACGTGGGATAGCCTGTTCCTGTTCCCTCCTCCTCCCCTCCTCCTCCTCCTCCTTCCCTCCTCCTCCTCCTCCTCCTCCTCCTCCTCCTTGCCTTATCCTTCTCGATAGCTCCTCCCTGTCGCACCCCGAGGCCAGTCGAAAGGGCGGGCCAGGCGTTCCGCCTGACACCTCCTCACAATGTAT